TGGCGGGTCAGCCATTTTTATGCGACTGCCACGCCACTCTACGTGGCTGGCTGCAATATCGTCACTGCTGGGACTTATTCGCTCACAATGGTTGGCTAATTGGGTACCCATTAGAATGAGAGGATTATCCCGACCCTAGTAATAGGCTGGCTCCCGACTACCTGAAGGTTGCCGGGCCCTGCTCTAGACTCTAGACCAGGGATGGGCAACCTCTGCTCTGAGAGCAAGTCGTGCTCCCGACCTCTATTAGTACATAACAAAGGGTAGACGAAAGCTTATTGTGTCGGGTGATGGGCCTTTATGACCCAAGTCGTAAAGGGCCTTCTCCTCGGCTTTTCCTAGACATATTTTTCGGTAAGGTCGATATTGGACCAAAAATTTAAAAAGCAAGCTGAAAGATGTCATTTATTCGGAAAGTTGAATTAGAAGAGTACTTTCATATTTATTTCAATGACCAATAGTTATCTTCATATTCAGAAAAGTTTTTGTCCATGTGTGGATATTTAACTTTCTCTTTATATTAATCACGGCGGCCATTTTCCCCATTTTACCATTTGGCAGAGACGTCATGGGACGCTCCCCAATACGGTGACTGTGAGGCCCCCACTACTGTCCCTACTATGATCGTACTAGGACCCTTATAATTGGCATGGTTATAAACTTCATTGGATTTCTAACTCAAGTTTATGACTCTGCTCCGAGCTACCTGAAGGTTGCCCATCCCTGCTCTAGGGAGTAAAGTATTTTCTGACGAAATGTGAGTATAATGACATGAGTCAGAAAATACTTTTTTTCCGTGAGGGACACAATATAATTATTTTCGTAGGGACTGGAAACGGCGATCTAACCGAGCGAAGCGAGGTTAGAATCGTACTTTCCAGTCCCGGCAAAATTTACGGAACTGAGTATCGTTATTTTTCTACCTCCAAAGGTGACTTTTTACCGACCGAGTGGTAAAATGTTCTGAATGATCGGCACTTTTTCCGATTTTACATTTCGCCCCACGTTTACCTTTCACACATGAATTTTTACGGAACTTTTTACGTATTTTTTCCAGTATTTTTCTCTCCGTGTACTTGGAAAATCTGCTGCTCATTCATTTTCATCAATGTACAGAATCCTGGGAACTCTCGTCTTTTTCCTTCCATCAAGATTTTTACGTGAATCTTTTGGATAAATGTTTACTCACATACACAGCAAACCCCAAAACCAAGGGCACATGGACCGTGGGATGTTCCTTGCTGAATTCGGCATTCGTATGTGTTCATGCACGTACCTCGTCGACGTTTATCATCAGTGAGGCATTCCTCTTCCACTGGTACAGGGAAAAAATTTAATACTGAAACAGAAGGTGAGGAAAAAGTCAATTACATGTCACTCGTGATTCACTGATAGGTTCTTTGACGGGATGGACTGATAGGGATGTGTCATGAGGGGCATTGAGGAATAGCTGTGTTTTCCCTGTATTAATTCTTATCCGACTCTTTTATTCGAGAAATTGATAAAATCGCTCTCCATCACCATTTAAACAGTTTTCGCGGAATTCTTCCAAAAATTCAACTCTAATGAATTACATTTAATTATGTCATAAAAGTTGATAGCAAGCAACAGAATTCAGGGAAATTCTTGAAGACTCGAGTAAAATTTTCATTATTGGAAAAAAAAATTCAATAAAATGAAATAAAATTATAGATTGAAAAAGATTAAAAAAGCAGACCATTTTTTACAGAAACTGCGATAAATCTAGTCTAATTATGTGGGTAAACAACCGTTAATGTATGATCAATTTTTATTCTAAAAATGCTGTTCCTACTTTGTGATTGAACTCTACAAATTCTACCAAAATTTTATTATAATTCTTGAAGAATGAATTGAAATTCAAGAAAAAATCATAAGAAAAGCATCCAACTAGAAATGGAAAAGAAATATCCAATAAAATTAGTAAAAAAATCCTAAATCTGATGCTAAATAAATGTTATTGTATTTGACTATAATAAGATTGTAGAAAGTTATTACATTCCTTGGACATGGCATTATTTTAACACGTATACATGGATTACAAAGTAATTTTTTTTTACACAAACATTCTTGGATCATTGTTAAAATTAAATATTAATTGTAAAATGTCTAATGAATACTTACACCTTTTAAGAATTCAATGACTGGGGGGATTAACACGTTTCATAATACATTTTATGGGATATTGTGAGTGAACTCAATGAGATTCAAACGCTTACCCGTTTCGATTCTATCGCCGATATTATCAAGATTTTCGTATTTTCGTATTTTCGTTTTTTATCGTCGATTCAATCAACATGACTCTATATTTATTGGACCCAATCATATTTTTTTCAAAAAAATTGAATGAATTAATGGTATCGAAAAAGAAACTTTCACCACAGGAAATGGTTTTCCCACTTTTTCATGGAGATAAATAACCCAAATGATTCTGTCTTTTATGAGTTAGATTTCGTTTGTGAGAGAACAGCTCAGTCCCCAAACCCTATGCCTTCTGTATTACTAAATGATTATTGAAATATGAATGATCTAGATAATAGATCTACATTGATTGTCCGCTGGTCTGCGCCTCAATAACGCGAATTGAAAACGTGATACTGTGTGTAGTGTTCGTTAAGACTAATGACAACAAATACCACGCAAAGTATGAAATACTACACGATGAGAATAAATTCTGATTAAACGCAAATGAAAATCCACGATTGAGCTTAAATTTCCGGAAAAAAGGTTTTATGCTGGTGCACGGAAATACAACAAATCGCAAAAACATGATCGATGAATCAAAAATGCCGCATTATTTACGCGAAATATTTTCATAAAATACCTTCTGAACAACGCAAAATATTCAGTATGCATTATCAAAAAATTCCCACAATATACTTCCACACGGATTATGATTTGAAATGCAATAGTTGCGTTTTTTTCTTCTGTTTTTCGACTATTAAGTTTCCTCTCGGTGCGCTAATTTTTTTAATGGAGAGATAAAATTTTCACGGCCACAAAGAGCGAGGAAATGCGCGGAAGCCCATGTAAGATGGCCGGATTGGCCTAAGGATCGGACCAAGCTCGATACCAACATTTCCGAAGCTTGAAAAAGAGGCTGGCCCAATGCTCTATCGAGCGTTGGATGATATCTCCGGCCCGATTATCGGTGCCTCGATTTTTATTATTTTTACCCAAACATATTAATAACATTTATTTTGTATTGAAATTTATCTGATTATCAATCTTTTTACGGTAATTGAAAGAAGCTACCGACGTCGGTAGCTCAGTGGCTAAGTGCGAGCCTAGTGTTCTGATTCATCATCCGTCTGGCAAGAAACTATTACAATAAAATGAGAGATATCGTAAATGATACAGTAAGAGCATTAACTACTTTTCCAGAGAATGAAGCGGTTGGCAATATTTTACATTTTATGATAAGATCGGCTTGACACAAGACGACAACCCTGAGCGTTTAGTTCCTGTATACTCGATGGAGATCCCGAAATGTGACTTCGAGGACTTCATTCGAGTTACAAAAGATTTCTGCTGGATTAACGAGAGATCCAAGTATATAGAAGCTCTCAAAACTCGTTATAATCTCTTTGAGCAAATTGAAAAACGAGAAAATAATAATAATAAATAGTAGACGCCACAGGGATAATTTCCGCCCACCATAAAACCAGTGAATGTGAGGGAAGCAGGCGATGAACGTCGAGGGGCCATGAGCAATTCATTCCCCCCCC